GCCATGCCCCTTGCCAGGCCCACCGTCTTCGCTGAGAGCCCTGACTTCTCCCTCGTGTCTCCCGAGGCCCTGTGTTCCCCTGCCCGGCTGGCTTTCCTTCTTAGCTTCTTCACCCCTGGCGTTATGTCATCCATGTCTTTCTGTCTTGCTCTCTGCCTGCTTCCTCTCCCAGGAAGCCCTATAGCGTTGTGGTGGCAGCAATGTAGGTGGCGCGGTGACGCACACCTCCCAGACCTGGAATCGGGCTTTGACAGAGCCAGCCCTTGATGCAAGCTGGATGAATGAATGGATGGATGTCTGTTGCTGTGGTGACGGCTGCCCAGAAGTCACCCCCTGATATGAGTGGCCTGGGTGGTTCTCTGAGGGTGGGCAGAGGGGCCCGGACAGCAGGTCCCGGGTTGGGCTCCTTGCTCTCTGCTGGCTGGTGAGAGGCCCGCTGTCCATCTGGGAGCTGCTGGATCGGAAGTGAGTGCTCAGAGGCTCTGTGGCTGATGGTCGGCTTTGAGCTGAGGTCTCCAGGCAAGTGCATGGGGCTGAGTGGGGAGATTCAGTGAAACCAGCGGTTGAACTCGTTGGTCTCCTGGAGTGGAGATATACCTCTCTGAGCCGTGATGTTTTTTCCTGAAAAATGGGGATAAGGGCAGGGTTGATGGAAGGGTTGAAGCAAAGCACTGTAAGCAAAGCTGCGTGAGGCCGCTGATGTCACTAAGAATGAGCATCTGGCTCATTCCCTCCTGACCCTGGTGGGGCCTGCCATGGTCAGCAGCCGGCTGACCCAACACCTTCCCCTCCCTGACTAGAACTTCTGACATGCATTCCCAGGCTTGTCCTGAGGATCCCAAGGGGGTGAGGCTGTGGGTGCAGGGGTGTGGCCAGAGCCCCTGCTGCCCGCTACTCCCATGGGTGTCAGCTGCCCGGGGGGCAGCAGGGCTGTGGGGAGTTCGTGCCTGGTGGCCGTGACTTGAGAAAGAGGAAGCTGCTTTCCCTGGTAACCTCCACAGCCTGCACCCCAGGAGCTGGCAGAAAGGAGGGAGCAACCCCAGCTGCAGGAGGACCCTGCGGGTGCTCTCTCCGGCCTCTGCTGGGAAGCCCCAGGCCCCTCCGCCACCGCCTTGTGCACGCGTGCGTGCATACACGCACAGAGCCTGGCCTTGTGCCGCTGGGTCACCTGGTGCCACCTCCGTTTCATGGGTGCCTGGCCAGCCACCGTGAGCATGCCATTCCTGGGGTTTTCACAGCTCTTTAGACCTGATGAAGCTGAATGAATCCTGAGAAGAGCACTGTTAGCTGGTGAGGGGGAGGGGCAGGTCTGGGCTCTCCTGGCATCAGGGGACCCCCTTCAACCTTGGCAGGGGGAAAGGAGCACCCCAAGGTGCTGGGAGGTTGGTGGAAAGAATAGGCATTCTGGGACAAATGCAGCCTGGGCTTTCAGTGAAGACCCAGGAGCTGATGTTCGCAAAGCAGTGAGAGCAGGGCCCGGGACTGTGTGAGCGTTTATTAAGTATGACACATCAACGGAGTGCAGACAGAAGGACACCAGGATCACTCTTGGACCCAGGGGCTGCCTCTGAGTGTTCATTGGAACTGGGCAGAGGGAAAAGCCCATGCCCAGCTGTCCCAGGTCTTGGATTCCCCTCCTGGCTCCATCATCTTTCAGCTCCATAACTTTGAGCTGAAGTCGGCCTGGGTCTCCATTTCCTTATCTATGAAATGGGCCCAGTGACACCTACCCTGGCTTCCTCGGGGAGCCTTTTGAATATGCAGGGAAACAGTCAGAAATAGACAAAAACAAACCATGTTTATTTTATTAGCAAATACTGTAATCTGGTCTGCCTGGCTGCATTTTAATAAAATTTTTAAAAGCTATCATAAAGGCCCTTTCCTACAGGTTTGGGAAGGTAAACACTGCTTCTCTGCTGACTCCCCTGGGGTTCAGAGAAGCCCACTTTGCCGCCCAGGCTGTAAGCAGACCAGTACCAGCCTTCTGCCCTTCCGCCCTCCCCAGGGTCTGCAGTGGGCAGAGGAAGACTTGTCCCATGCCCCGTGGCCAGTAAATGATGTAGTCATGGTTTGATTGCCTTCTTATGCCGCTCATGGGGTTCTCATGGCAAGAATACTGAAGTGGTTTGCATTCCCTCCTCCAGTGGCCCATGCATGCTTTGTCAGAACTCTCCTCTGTGACCTGTCTGTCATACAAGGCATGGATCATAGCTTCATTGGGTTTCAGAAGTCCCTTTGTCATGACAAGACTGTGGTCCATGAAGGGGAATATTATTGCAACCCTGAATAGTCACTGGAAGGGCTGATGCCGAAGCTGAAGCTCCAGTACCTTGGCCACCTGATACAAAGTGCCGACTCACTGGCAAAGACCCTAATGCTGGGAAAGATGGAAGGCATAAGAAGAAGGGGCAGCAGAAGATGAGATGGTTAGGTAGCATCACCAACTCAGTGGACTTGAACTTGTGCAAACTCCGGGAGATAGTGGAGGACTGAGAAGCCTGGCATGCTGCGGTCCATGGGGTCACAAAGAGTCGGACACGGCTTGGCAGCTGCACACCACCACCACGGTTTGATTATGGGCTGTGGAGCTCTGAACATTGGTGATAATTGTCATCAGTAGTAACAGACAGGGCGCTTTTATGTGCACAAGCATCTCTCAGCAGGAGCATTTTATCTTCATGGCAGCCATACAGGTAGTTCCTGTTTCTTGTCTTTGGATTGGACACAGAGAGATGCAGAGAGGTAATGAAGTTTGCCCAAAACCAGGCAGTTGGTGAGCAGCAGCTGGTCTCCGGGTCTCTGACTCCCAGAGCCTGTCCAGTCCTCCTGTCACTCTTTTCAGTCACAGCGGTATGCCCAGCCTCACCTTCTCAAAGGACATGGGCGTAATGGGAGAAGAGGGTGGTCTTTTCCGCAATCACCAGCCCCAGAAGGGAGCGGCCAACCACAGGGATGGGGCAGTGTGCCCAGGATCATGTTTCCTTGGAGCCCAAGATTTGTGGAGTCTGGGTTTGGCAAATTGATTCAATCAGGGTGAGAGGATTTGCTTTCTTTATCCCCAGTCCCCGTGGAGGGTGTCAGGACTGTAGAATTAGGAAGATACAATTGAATACATAAAAGTTAAGGTTAAATGTCAGGAGAAAAGTTTACTCTTCTTAAGAATTCATAAGCGATGAACCCAAGTGTCCATCAGCGAATGAATGCATAATCCAGATGTAGTGGTATATCTATACAATGAATATTAACCAGCCTTAAAGAAGGAAGTTATCCCACTCAGCCATAAGAAGAATGAAATCATGCCATTTGCAACAACATGGATGGGCCTAGAGACTGTTAAACTAAGTGAAGTAAATTAGAGAAAGACGAATACCAGATGATATCATTTGTATGTAGAATCTAAAAAAATTAATACAGACAAATTTACAAAACAGAAATAGACTCATAGAAGCAGAGAACAGATTTGTGGTTGCCAAGGGGGAAGGAGGTAGGAGAAGGATAGATTGGGAGTTTGACATGAGCAGGTGCAAACTAGTATATAGAGAATGGATAAACAACAAGGTCCTGCTGTGCAGTGTAGGGAACTGTATTCCATGCCCTGTGATAAACCTTCATGGGAAAGAATATGTATATATGTATAACTGAGTCACTTTGTTGTACAGCAGAAATGAACACAATTTCAAGTCAACTCTACTTCAGTAAAATATACTTTTTAAAAAAAGGAAATTTGGGCACATGGCACAGTGGATGAACCTTGGGGACATTATGCTAAGTGAAATCAGCCAATCGCAAGACAAGAGACACTGTGTGATTCCTCTCACGGGCGGGCCCTAGAGGAGAATGGTGACTGTCTGGGGGAGGGGGAGCTGGTATTTAATGGGGAGAAAGTTTCAGTCCGAGATGATGGCAAGAATTCTGGTGATGCGTGGTGGAGGCCCAGTCAATTGTACGCTTACAGACGGTTAACTTGGTAAGTTTTCTGTTACATGTGTTTTACCACAATCAGAACAGATTTCGTGGTGCTTCCAGTACTAGGATCCGCTTGGATAAAACCCACAGCATTATTTGTGTGTCTTTATCACCTCCATCTGACAGTCAGCTGACCTGTGCACATGGAAAACAAACCCACCTGACTTCTTTAAACTCGGGTAATTGAGACTCAACACTCATCCTCTTTGGCCGGTGGCTCTCAGCCTGAGTGAGAGCTGACTGAGAAATCTTAGCCCTTTCCCAGTCTCACTGCTTTTTAAAGAGCCTTGTTTTCTTAAGGCCTATAATTATGTTTGCCTCCAGGGTACCCAGGAATTTTCTTTTTTTAATAAGCAAAGAGCATCCTACAATTATCATGATGATTTGTGGAGGGCAGGCCAAGTGCAGACAGGAGGCTGACGCACTCTGGAAGCTGGGTCTCACGTGTTGGCATTGGCATCCCGGGGGCCGGAGCACTTGGGGTCTGTAATTAATATTAAGAGCTGGAGAATTAACAGACCCACAGAGGTGTCCACTGTGGCTGCCAACAGGACGGGGCGGGCGGCTCGGTGGGATTGGCCTGACGGAGGCTGGCCGCAGCCGAGCGCGGTCCTGCCTCCACAGCCGGTTCTAGGTAAACACCTCCGCCTGGGTGACTGAGAGCCCCGGACGCCGTGACCCGGGGCTGCCCGAGCCACATCCAGCCAAGGCCGGGATGCGCAGAAGCCTGTCGGCGCTGTCAGCCCTGATTTGCGGCCAAGCCTGTCATCTCCCCGAGTTCAAAGAGCGCTTAGCTACTTGTCTTTGTCAAGAGCGCGGTTGGGGATCTTTTATGTGAAAGATGTAGGGTTCTCGGGCTGACTTTGATTATTTATTCATCCCCCTTCGTGGGTGTGTGATAGCTGGGCACCCCGGAGCCCCCCTGTCCTGGCCGCTCTTGCTCTGAAATTCATCGAGCTTTAAAGCCCTTTGAAAATTGCTTTTCGAGGGAGGGGAAAAGTTTCTGAAGTCCTGTTTCTCTCTCCCCTGCGCAGTGCCGCCGCATCTCCTGCCGCCGTTCCACGCCCCCTTCCCGATTGACATGCGACACCAGGAGGGCCGCTACCATTACGAGCCTCACTCGGTCCCCGGCGTGCACGGGTAAGTTCCACCGCCCCCGCGCCTCAGCCTCTCTGCCCCGCAGTGGACGTCATCCACCTGTGCCAGCGAGGCGGGCACTGACCCCGTGGGAAGGGGGGCTGTCGTGTGAACCCCAGCTCGCCTCTGGTTTCCTGAGAGGGAAGTGCACCCCCTCCTTCATCACCCGCTTGTGTCCCAGCGCCCTGAGACTCTTCCCCATCCAGGCAGCGGGGACATTCTGCAGGCCAAAGTCCCCACCCGAGTCCCGAGACTCTGGATCGATGTTCCAACATAATCATTCAGAGCACGCCCCTTTCACGCCCTCAAGTATCCCAGTTCAGACAGTGAATTCTAGAGCCTCCCTACGGATAAGGACAAGTTCAAAGTTATACTTTGGGGCCTCTCCTGCTCCCTGCTTTGAGACCACCCCCACCCCTTGGCGGTGAAGGAGCTCATCCCCTGCATGTCTCTCTCTGTTCCTGCTTCTGTCCCTCTTCGCTCCCACCCTCGGGCTCAGAGCCCGTAGCCCGTGTCTCTTTTCTTGGTTTTAATGATGCCAAGACCTGAGCCCTTGCTACCGTGTCCCTTTTGCTTCCAGGAGAGAGACTAAATCCTCTGCCCCACCTCCTATATCTCTGCTGTGCCTCTTGAACCAACATCTCCCATTCCATGCCAAGCTGCCATTTATGGTTCCAGCCCCCGTGTACCTGGGTCTCAGCCCCTGCTGCCCAGCCGCCTGGAATGGCCCCTTCTCCAGACCCCTGAAGCCTTGGCTCAGAAACCACCTTCTCTGGGAAGCCCACCCTGAGTGGGGGCCCTACCCTGGATTACCACCACCCTGCAACACCGGAATGAGCTGTTTTTACACCGCCTCCAGCGGACTCTGGGCTTTGCTCTGATTCCCGCCTTGACGATGGCTGACACGTGTGTAATAAGTTCACAGTCAATGTTTGCTGAGCAGAGAACCCCCTCCATACATTCCACCTGCTGAAGACAGACCCTGCCACCTCTCCCAGCTCCCACTGGAATAAAGTCAGTCAAAACTTGCTGAGCCCTCTCTATATTCAAAACTGACTCGTACACTCACTGCTCACCCCAGACAGAGCAAATCTGGGACTTCTGTTTGCTTTTTAAAGATATTTTGTACTCTGGAATAATCTCAGACATTTAAAAATAAGTTGGGAAAATTACAAATACTTCCTGTATATCCTCACCCTGTTCCTTAGACATTCATATCTAACATAACCAAAGACTGGTTCAGTGTTATTAACTAACTCATAAATCTTATCTAAATTTCATCAGTTGCCTGTGGATATCCTTTTTTCCTCTGTTCAGGATTCAGCCCTTACATTTAGTTGTCATAACTCCTTAGTCATCTTTATCCCAGGACATGGCTCAGTCTCTTTTGCCTTTCATGACCTTGACACATTTCTTTTTTTTCTTTTTCCATTATGGTTTATCAGTTGAATATAGTTCCCTATGTTATACAGTAGGACCTTGTTGTTTATCCATCTATATATGATCATTTGCATCTGCTGATCCCAAACTTCCAGTCCTTCCCTTCTCCATCTTCCCTCTCTGCTCTCTATAACTGTGAGCCTGTGTCTGTTTCATAGAAATGTAATAGTTTAGGTCCTTCATATAAGCAATACCGTGCTATTTGTCTTTCTCTTTCTGACTTACTTCACTTAGTATGATAGTCTCTAGGTTCATCCACGTTGCTGCAGATGGCATTATTTCATTCTTTTTTTTATGACTGAGTAATATTCCATTGTATGTAAGTAACACATCCTCATCCATTCATTTGCCAATGGCCACTTAGGTTACTCATGTCTTGGCTATTGTGAACAGCACTGCTATGAACATAGGAGTGCATGTTATCTTTTTATATTTGAATTTTGTCCGGGTATGTACCCAGGACGTACATGCCCTGGATTGCTAGATCATGTGTCAGCTCTGTTTTCAGTTTTTTGAGGAACCTCCACTACTGTTCTTCATGGTGGCTGTACCAGTTTACATGTGACCTTGACCCTTGAAGAGGAAAGACCGCTTAGTGTACAGAATGTGCTCAGTTTGTGTTTGCCTGATGTGGCCTCCTGATAAACTCAGATGATGCACTGCGGGGATACTGCCATGGAAGCGGTGCTCTCCCGTCCTAGAACATCAGGTCCAGGGCCCATGACGGCCATACTTCTCATCCCTGGGAATCCTAACTTCGATCATTCGCTTACAGTGCGGTGTGCTGAGTTTCTCCACTTTAGAGCTAGTCCCTTGGTAATTGCAAGTCTCTCGTGGGACAGTACTTGGATAATATGTAAATTCCTATTTCTCATAATATTTTCAGCCACTCACCTAAGCATCCTTTGATGATTCTTGCCAAAAACAGTAACTACTATTATTTGCCAAATGGGGATTTTCTGTTTCTGTGATTCTTTCCACATTTATCGATTGGAATTCTACTGTAAGGAAGACCTCTGTCTCTTCTCCCCATTTCTCTATTTATTTGATCACTTTATATATCAAATCAATGTGTGAATATTTGTGTTCTTCCAAGAGCTATACTCTGTTGCTATCACTATTCATTTTGTTGTTCAAATTGTTCCAGGTTTGCCCACTGGGAGTCAGTCCCTTCGGGTTGTCCCCTGTGACATGTTTGGATCTTTGCGTTTTACCTCGGTGCCTGCAGCTGGTGCTTGCTTGACTAGGACCTGCCGTGGGCAGGCTTGTGTCCCCCTGGGGGGTGGTGGGGCCATTTCAGCCCTCTGCCCACAGCCATGGCAGGTTCTGGAGGGTGTGTCCTCTTAGAGCTGGTGCAGAGCATCCTCTGAGTATCAGGGGAGCTGAATCCGTTTCGGGAGGGGGTTGAAATGGCTGTTTTTCTGTTCTTGGAAGCTGTTCGGCTGATTCTGTGGCACAGATCCTGGGCTTGGCCAGCCTACAATGAAGTGCTCCCGGCAAGGGGCCCCATGCTGGGCAGAGACCAGGGCAAGGCTGGGAGCTCCCTGGGGAGCATGCAGGCAGGCATACATGTGTCACTCTGCCGGGGAACATCCAGGCACCCATGGCCCCGCATGCCTAGGGACAGTGACGGGGTTATAAGGACACCTCGCTCTTAGCAACTGCCATTTCTCAGAGTAACTCTGACCTTTGGACAAGCTCTGCCTGTAAACACTTCATGTGTTCATCTTACTTAATCCTCTTAACCCTATAAGGTGTGCGTTTCGTGCCAGCCCCATTTTACAGATGAAGGAACTGAGGCAGCACAGAGTGGTTAAGTAATTCATCATTAGGGCCCTGCCCCCCCGACTTAGGGAGTGAAAGAGTTAGAAACCTAATCATGGCCCTCGGCCAGACACCGGCTTCTCCCTTGGGAGCACGTGTATGACCACAGGTCCCCTGCGTGTATCCACACGATTCCTTCTTGGAAGCTCATACAGCCCTTTAGTAGGACTCTGCCCCCAAATTCAGTGGTTCCCCAAACCTCTGGACCAGCAGCATAAGCCTGCTAGGAATGCAGAGTCTCAGGCCCGGGCCCAGACCTGCTGAGTCAGAGGCTCTAGAGTGGGCCCACCATTTGTGTTTAACACACATTACAGGTTTGAGATGCTCTGTCTGCAGGCAGGAACTTGTCACTGAATCAGGGGGCCCTTGGTACTGTTAATCCCTGGCTTAATGGAAAGCTGTGGGTGAGAGGTGGTTGTCATCCCCTAGGTCAGGGCTTGACACAGGTCATGTCCCCTTTCTGGGCCTGCTTCTCTCCTGGCCAGTAAGGAGAAGTGTCTTCTGGGCCTAAAATCAAGGTGTTAGCAGCGCTGGTTTCCTTCTGGAACCTTCCCACTCCAGGAGAGCATCCATCTCCTTGCATTTTCTAGCTTCTGGAGGCTGCCTGCACGCCCGTGATCCCTGCCTCTCACCTCTGTGCCTTTGTGCCCCCTGCATTTTTTCTCAGATCGCCTTCTTTCTCGCCCGTAGTAGTTTTCTTCTGCTGCCTGTCTTAGAAGGATGCCAGTGATGTCTCATTGTGAAATCCAGGATCATCGTCCGGTCTCAGGAACCTTAACTCAAATACATCTGCAAAGCCCCTTTTCCCACAGACGGTGGCATTCAGGGTTCCAAGGATTAGGACAGACATCTCTGGGTGTCACCATTCAGCTCATCTGTGATCACGGAATTTCAGTGGTGAAGCCTGGCATCACCCAGCAGAAGACAGTAAAGGTGGTCCGTCATTTGCACAGGGCCTCTTGGGGCCAAGCTCTGCACTGGAGCCTGGTGGGGCTGTATTAGTTGAGTTTCCTGGTTGCCTGTGAAATGAGGTTATAATCCACATCCTATGGCCACAGACACTGAGGTTCAGAGAGGTGCAGCGATTTTCATACGTCATCCATGCAAGGTGGGCCTGCTTGCTTCCCCTCAAGGGTTGAGGAGCCCACCTGCCCCCCAAGGCCCACCTCCTGCTAGGGTGGGCTCCCAGCGGCTCCACACTATCCTGGTTCCATCCCCCCAGGCCACAGGAGGAATACAGCGTGTGTTCAGGGCTAGCCTTGGGCCCTGGGAAACCCACTCCTTCGTCCGCCCAGGTGGGAAGCAGGATAAAGCCTAGGAGAAAAAGTGGACTCCCTGGCTGTGACTTCTGTCATCAGTGTGGTCTGAGCCTGGTGGAGCACTGCATCCACCAAGCCCCTGCTGTAGACACTCCTCCTCATCGCTGCCAAATATACCTAATTACACAAACATCGTGCAGCAAATGAGACGCAGTGCCATCTCCTGTCCCACCTTCAGAGCCTCTTCAGCTGCTGGCACCCAAGGCCTCTGCGCATTGGCTGTCTTGGCCGTGGTGGGCGTGGCTCCAGGAGGAGTGCCCCTCCACTGGCCCCACCCTGCTACCTGGGCTTGAACCCCAGGACTGAACGCACCAGCTTTGGGAGGTGACCATCTAATCAATCTGAACGGATAAACCCCAGTTTTCTCCTCTGTAAAAGGGCACGATAATAGTACCTACCCCATTTACTGAGTTATTTGAA